GTCATTGCGGTCATCAAGGTTCTCCTGGTCATCATTGGTGACAATGCCAATGCTGTTCCTGGCCGATTCATCACCATGGCTGTACACATTGGTGAGACAGTTTGCATGCAACCTGAGTTGTCTGGAAATCCTGACAACCCAGCTGGTGCAGATTGGCCATTGTTGCCTCCATGATGTTGGCGCAGTGACCAATTGGATCACAGCCGTTCCGGTCGGTGGTTCAAGCTTGTTGCCACCAGTTGGGGCTTCACCACCACCACCACTCTGGCATGAAGTCCAAATAGTTCTGGAGGTGCTAATTGCCCCAACGGTTAAAGGAGCAGCCCACACTCTGGATCCCTTGAGGAACCGCTTTCTGTCTGACCTCCGTGTCTTGCTTTGGTTGCATGCCACCTTGTCATTGGTGTCATCAGCAAGGCTGTTGCATCCATGGGTCCTGCCAAGGCCATTGTTGCAATTGAGTCCATGGCTGTCATTACGATCACTGGCATCATTGCTGCCACGAGTGTCATCCTTATCAGCAATGCTGTCCCTGTTACCATCGGCCAAGCATCCTTCACTTTTCGTGCCTAATATCCCTCAACTGTCGGAGTCCAACTTGTTGTTCTCATGGTTGTTGAACACCACCGGAAAGGTTGGGGGCATTCTGAAATTGTGTAATTTCTGGGGAAATCCGTCCCTGCGGATGGTGAGGATTGTGACTCGGACAATGATTGGTCCTCTGCATTCCCGAGAGGCCAACCACATTCCTGTCCACTTGACGATGATGCTGTGGGCACCATCAACACCTGCGTCCAGATCCAACTCATCATCATGTCGGAAAATTCTGCTGACTACGGGTCCTGTTTGTCCTGATCACTGCCAGAGCCCTCGGGCATCTTGCTTTTGGTCTGGCCAGGCTCTGATGATGATGGGAGCAGGTTCACTGGCACACCAGGTACAGACTGGGCCACTGCTGACTCCAAGAAGGTTAGGTTCTGGCCACAGACAGAAACCTGTCCTGTCCCAATTAACATGCCAGTTTGGTTGGCACCCGTGGCAGTACCTGGAGCCAGGTCGTGTCTCATCCTTGCCATTGGTGATGCCAATGTCCGGGGATTCAATCCGATGGACATTGCAAAACTCATTGTCATCCCTGAGTTGCAGTGATGGGTTGCTCTCAGTCTCATGGCTCTTGACATTGGTGTTGAAGTCCAATTCGCAATCACAATCCCCACTGGCATCTTGCCACCAGCAGTGTTGGCAGCCACAATGGTGTCATCCCCTTGCAGGTTGGCAAAACCACCGATGCCGATGCCTGGCCATTGTTATCCAGAATACAGCAATCTCCAAGCTGGGAGACCAATTGCAATTCTGCATAGCAGTAATGAACAGGCAGTTGCCAATGCATCCCGTGGTCCTGCCGAATCACGTGCGGTGGTCCATCTGTTGGAATCAAGAATTGACTATCTTGATCTTCCACTTCAGCTGGAGGTTGAGAACTCCTGGTCCTTTGACAAGGCTGTCAATCTGTGGTTGGAGTAACCTGTCAGCCTTGTATGTCGTACTCCATCCTGTACATAGACTTCTTGTGTATAAAAGACTCTATCCTCATTCTTTTTCTTCAATTCTTATTTTCTTGGGAAACAATTTTCTGTGTCGGGCATTTCTGCATGCCCCGCTGGCTGAACCATTCATTCCTGTCTGTACTCCATCAGGCTTGGGCAGCAAGGTTGTTGATGCTGATGGGCCTGGTGTTGTTTTCACTGACACTGTGGTTGCTGCTCCTTCTTTACCTGTTATGGTGTCTGGGAACCACAAGGTCCGTGACCAGAGTGACCAGAGGTTCCTGTTTGGCAAGGCGGTGAACGACTTGCCATCTGTTCAGGCCCTGGCCAGCAGGTTTGCCATTAGTAACCATGCTGGTTCTGAAGTCCTTGTGGCCATAGCTGGGAGCAAACTGGGGTTGCAAGAGCAGAATCTTACCTTGCTGCCTCAGCTGGGGTTAGTTGAGCTCATTTGGTGGAAACCATCCATCGGGCTGTATGGCTACATCCAGCCTTGCCTCTGGGGTACCCTGGAAATCAACCTTGACCAGTTCTGGAAGAGGATGACTGGAAGCAGACCATCAAAGGGTTCCTTAGCAAGGTATGTCACTCCTTTGCAGCCTGGTCAGGCCGGAGGCAAAGCAACCTCCTTAGCAGGATTCCTGCTGAGGATTGAGAAGACCTCAAGGTCCCCAAATGCTGAGGCCCCCACTAGGCGCCCAGATGTGCCAGTTTACTTCCGGGCGACCCAGCAGTGGGGAAGCCCAGCGTGTTGGAAGGTTTGCTCAGACCTACCCCTGTCTGTTGGGAGAAAACTCTGGCTGGGCAACCAGGCCACCAAGGAGACAGAGTTGCCCACTACCTCAGGGTTGCTGCTCCCAAAACCGACCTCCAAGTGCTTGCGGCAAAAGGAAGTTGGCAGATGGCCATCTCCAGTCCTCAATGAGCAGAAAACCCCACTGGTTGCTCTGGGATTCCCCATACTGGCACACGATGCCTCATCTGTAAGCATAGATATGCCATCAGAAACATGTGCAACGTTGCGAGCAGCTGCAACCATGGTTGAGGCCGTGGCTGGAAAGTCTCCCTCATCCAGGGTTGTGGATGCTGCAAGCCTACCCTTTCCACCCAAATACGTTATCCTCACCACTCCACCTGCCTCATGTCGCACTAGCGATCCACCTCGGGTAGGAATACCCACACCTTCTACCCTAACCTCACTTGCATTCATTCCCAAATCCCTGCCCCCAAGCTCTTTTTATATAAAATCCTTATTAAGTTCAATCCGGCCATCCGTATTATTATCCCCTATTAAGGTAATTAACATAAACGCATTAAAATTACCAAATTTTTCAATAATTAATTATTATTTTAACCAAACCAACATTGTTGATGAATGGCAAGAGGGCAGACCAGGGTTTGACAATGCCCTAGTTGTCACTGCCTGGGAGGTGGCTAGGTCCGTGGAAGTTGCCTTCATCCCGGCCACAAGTTGCGGCTGCAGTCCAGGTGTCGACCCTTGGGAGTACTCTGTTCCAACAGGGGAAACTTGTGAGTCACCCTCACAGACAGATAGAAGGCTCTGTCGCCGATACCTGGGCCTGCGAAAGGGGCATGACCTTGGGATGGTGAGCTTGTTGGCTGACACCCTAGTGGTATTGGAAGCCACCAAAGAAAGTGAAGATGCCATCGGCACCCTAACCATTGGGCCCACTTCCAGCACTGCCACCCTGATTGCCAGTTCGTGGCTCAGCCCTGCGGAAGAGGAAGAGGAAATATGTTGTTACCTCAACCAAGAACCTCACCAATCTCTGCCAGGATTTGCCACTGCTAACACTCAGGCTGAAGTGGGGTCCTTCTCACGGGATGTCAAGTTGCCGCCCCTAGTGGCTGCGTTTAGAAGATCTCTGGAAGTGACCTTTAGAAGATGCGTTGAATGCTGGGCAAGTCTTGAATCTGCCCAGTGGGAAAGAGCCAATGAAGAACACATGGTTGTTGCCAAGAGACCAGATTATTTCATCCCATTACATTTCCCATTTAATTATTCTCTTTTATTTGGTTGCCAGGCTTTATTCTTTTGGTCCTTTTCACTTTTATTTTTGCTTTCAATTTCATTTTTAATTTCATTTTCCTTTCCGTGTACAGCCAACATTTTGAGTAAGTGTGTGTTTTGTTCTGTATGATTTACATCGCCAGATCTACAGGTAACCAGAAGACTGATTAAGAGCTGGAGCAAGAGGAGAAGTGTTCAACAGAAGGCTGGAACTACCCTTGTGATGTCTTCACCCTCTGCAAGGATTGTTGGAGCAGAGAGAGGTGTGGGAGCTGAGGCAAGATGTGCGGTTCATTGCAGAAATGAGCCCAAGAGGGGACATTCCAGTAAGGAACATTCATTCTTCTCCCTCCAGTGTTGCCCGGAGGTCAAC